CAGCTCCTTGTCCTCATATCCCAGATCCATCTCATATCCCAGCTCCTTGTCCTCATATCCCAGCTCCTTGTCCTCATACCCCAGCTCCTTGTCCTCATACCCCAGCTCCTTGTCCTCATATCCCAGATCCATCTCATATCCCAGCTCCTAGTCCTCATATCTCTTCCAACTGCCATATAGACAAATTGGCTTAGCCCTCCCTACTAGTGATGACTTGTGTAATTCCAGAAATATTTTGCAACGTCTCAAGGAACTCCTTCGTGACTGAGACATATTAAGTTCGACACTCGCCTCGGGTCACTAAGAAAGTGTCGGTGGACGGCTCCACGCCTTAGGACTGTAGTTTTGGTATCCAGAAAATGTTGAAATGTTAAATTTGTCTCAGTCACGCTAACAGTAATGACTAATGCTTATTTTGAGAGGTTTGTAATGTGTGTGAGAGAGAGAGAGAGAGAGAGAGAGAGAGAGAGAGAGAGAGAGAGAGAGAGAGAGAGAGAGAGAGAGAGAGAGAGAGAGAGAGAGAGAGAGAGAGCACAAGTTCGCTCCCATCTAGAGTATGTACCTCTCTCCTGGACCGCCTGCCCCTCTGCATTCATGAGACTGTTGGTCTAAGCGGACAGACGGGCCAGAAGGCTTATCTCTAGTCTTGACCAAGTCTGGTGGGAACGGTCTGAACACCAGAGCCTGCAACACCGTCGGGACGTTGTTGGTCTTACTGTTATGTACAAGGCCAACACCCACAAAGTTCCGCACCTGGCCCAACTCCGTGGACTACCAGTAGTTGCCACCCGTAGCACTTGGCTCTCAACCTTCAACACTCTCATGCTGGAAGTGCCATTCTCAAGAACATCACTCCATCAGCGATCACTCACTCCGAGGCCGACTGGCATCTGGAACTTGTTGGCCCAACAGGATGACACACGGGAGATCAGGTCACCTGATCACATGAAGGCTCTGGCACACAGTTGGCTACAGGCTCATACTGTTCCTTAAATGATTGTTACTTAATGTTGTTACTGAGTAAAGGCTTGTCCTTCTTATGCATATAACAGGCTCATGAAATAAATGGGCTTCTGGGAGTTGGTTTCAACTGAGCTGAGGAAGGATTACAGCTCTTGCTTGCGGTTTCACCAGGTTCCTTTTAGGATAATTCCCTATGTGACAGTTTCAAAACACATTCTCATGAAATAAATGAGTTTCTTGGTGCAGGCTTCAAATGAGTTGAGGTAGGATAACAGCTCTTGCTTGCAGTTTCACTTGGTACGTCATTTGACAGTCATTATGGCTTGAAGACATCATCATATTTCTCAGTCCTATATTCTTTTATACTCTAGTACATTATATATATATATATATATATATATATATATATATATATATATATATATATATATATATATATATATATATATATATATATATATATATATATATATATATATATATATATATATATATATATTAATATTAATAATATTTATTGCAGAAAAATTGCAATAAAGTGGAAGAAAAGAAATAAAAATACTTACATGTATATGAAATGAAAGTGACATAGATAACCAATGACGAAACCTGTACATCTTTCAACAATCATGTCGGCTGTGTTTACATACATTAAACAGTTTACGAGGTTGTAAACTCCACAACCCAAGGTTGTTAGTGTTATAAACAACCTCGTACAGTGCTACAACCTCATAACCTGTTTCAGTAAGCCGCCACACTCGTTAAAAGATGCACAGGCTTCGTAAATCGCTGCGTATATACTTGACGAATCTTGGTCCCTTGATCACCACGGACCAAGATATACACGTATATACAACTTTCACTGCAAATACGTGTAAATGTCACATTTTTTTTATTATAAACATCATTACAGATTATTAATTATTCCCAGCGAATAATTCACCTTCGGAGCGCGATTAACGACGCAGAGACAGGTAGGTAATGAAGCTAATAGATAACATTCCATAAGTCTATCGAATGATTGATCTTATAATTGAACCTAATCTATTAATCACTGAGCATTCCTGCCTATGGTATGCGATGATGACTCCGCATATTTCGTTATATCTGTCTGTGAGAGCGTAAATACTAGGTATATACAGGGATATGTGTATATATGTTCCGGGGTAAAGTATACTCGCTGACTTGTATACTTGTATGAGCTTGTATACTCTTGTACTGAACTTAGTTTTGGGGTAGTTATTGGGTGAGTATATCCCAGGATGTGTGGTGTTGTGTGTGTGTGTGTGTGTGTGTGTGTGTGTGTGTGTGTGTGTGTGTGTGTGTGTGTGTGTGTGTGTGTGTGTGTGTGTGTGTACTCATCTATTTGTGCTTGCAGGATCGAGCATTGACTCTTGGATCCCGCTTTTCCATCCATCGGTTGTTTAGAGTGTGTGCGCGCGCGTGTGTGTGTGTGTGTGTGTGTGTGTGTGTGTGTGTGTGTGTGTGTGTGTGTGTGTGTGTGTGTACGCATCTATTTGTGCTTGCAGGATCGAGCATTGACTCTTGGATCCCGCTTTTCCATCCATCGGTTGTTTAGAGTGTGTGCGCGTGTGTGTGTGTGTGTGTGTGTGTGTGTGTGTGTGTGTGTGTGTGTGTGTGTGTGTGTGTGTGTGTGTGTGTGTGTGTGTGTGTCTTCTCACCTATTTGTACTCATCTATTTCTGCTTGAGGGGGTTGAGCTTTGACTCTTTGGTCACGCCTCTCAACCGTCAATCAACAGGTGTACAGATTCCTGAGCCTACTGGACTCTATCATATCTACACTTGTGTGTGTGTGTGTGTGTGTGCACGCGCGTGTATAACCCACATCAAATGTCAATCAAACACGTCCAAACTCAATCACGACTCCCCGACAGGACCTTAAAACCCTTAAACCAGCCACAAACTCCCTCAAAAAACCGGTTTAAGATGCATATCACTTTAACCACCCGAGCAAATACCTGGCATTACACCTCATCCAAAAACATTATCTCCATTAAATATGCAAATGAGATCCGCTATTCATCTCCCCGATGACTTACGATGAATATCAACTAAAGGGGGGGGGGGAATTTTACAGGTGCAAGATAGCAACAAGCCACCATGGTCCAGAAGGGAGTAAGTCCTATAGAATAAACAGATATATATGACTTTTGCTGAAGATTCCCAGGTGAGACCCCGCTCACCTGTCGATAAGTCAATTAAAAAGGGAGTAAGATAACAGCAAGCCACCATGGTTCATAAGGCTGTAACTCCTATAGAATACAGGTAAAGATACGGGTCTTTCTGCTAGTTCTCACACTTAACCTTCTTAACCTGCCGATAGCCAATTAAGCGGTAATCAGCTGTGCTGATCAGGTGATTGTGATATCAGGTATCATTACAGACCGAAGAAAATGGAATATTCTTATATAAGAATATATTCAATGATCATTCTTTATAAGATCATTCTCTAAGATCATTCTCTATAAGATCATTCCCCGAGAGAATAATACGCAATTTACGCAATATTATTTTTTTGTGTACGTCTAATGACGTCAGAGAAGTCGTGAAGTCTTTGATGACGTCACTTCTGACGTCATTAATCATCCCTCCCTGAAAGGTCACGTTGATAAACGGACGTAAAACAGTCCGTTAGTCCTCTAACGGTGATTGGCTGACGTCTGTCCTCCCATTGGGCACCACCAACGCGGCCGGCGTTAGCAACAAGTCCAACGCTTCGTAACAAGGTGCAAGTCCAACGCTTCGTAACAAGAAGCGAGTCCAACGCTTCGTAACAAGAAGCGAGTCCAACGCTTCGTAACAAGAAGCAAGTCCAGCGCTTCGTAATAAGAAGCAAGTCCGACGCTTCGTAACAAGAAGCGAGTCCAACGACGCTTCGTAACAAGGAGCGAGTCCAACGCTTCGTAATAAGAAGCAAGTCCGACGCTTCGTAACAAGAAGCAAGTCCAACGCTTAGTAGCAAGAAGCAAGTCCAACGCTTCGTAACAAGAAGCAAGTCCAACGCTTCGTAGCAAGAAGCGAGTCCAACGCTTCGTAACAAAAAGTGAGTCCAACGCTTCGTAACAAGGTGCAAGTCCAACGCTTCGTAACATAAAGCAAGTCCAACGCTTCGTAACAAGAAGCGTTGTACGTACAAAAAGGCCACCAAGACCAACGACATGAGATATATCACGTCCAATGACGGACATGTTCAAGCCCATTAACATGTTAATGGGGGTTCGTTAATTAGCATTAACAAGGCCAAACCCTGCCCTCGTTAACAAGGTGGGGGGGAGGGGGGGTGGGGGATGCGGGAGGGGGGGAGGGGGAAGGGGGGGAGGGGGGGTAGCCCTAGTCTGCCCTCATTTTATTATATATGGAGACAAAGTTTGTTTAATTTAAGCACCTGTTAACAGGGGCACCTGTTAACAGGGGCACCTGTTAACAGGTGATGATCTTGCATGACCCCTAAATATTTATATATATATATATATATAACTGAAAACTCACACCCCAGAAGTGACTCGAACCCATACTCCCAGAAGCAACGCAACTGGTATGTACAAGACGCCTTAATCCACTTGACCATCACGACCGGACATAATGAGGTGATAGCCGAGGCTATTTGAACCACCCCACCGCCGGCACTCGGATAGTAATCTTGGGCATAGCATTTTACCAAATCACCTCATTCTTTGGGGCACACGTGAGGATATATATATATGAGGATATATATATATGCGTGAGTCGCGCATATATATATATATATATATGTCACGTTCTTGTGCAATAATTGGACTAGCTTCAGTTGTATTCATTTTGGAAACTTATTGTTTAAAAAAACTTTGAACAGGGCGATGGAATGCAACCTACGTCAGACTAAGGGCGCGTCTTACCCATTGGACCATGTTAGGCTTAAAAAAAATAGTCTAATGGGTAATTCCTGCATCTGTGGTGTCCGCCGGTTCGATCCCACCGCCCTGCTCCATTTTCCCCCTTGCTTGTGTACTAATACATTGTTTTTCCCATCTCGCAGATGTGGCAGGACATCGAGACGGTGCTCCTTGGGGACGCAGGCGCTTCAGACACGGAGCCTCTCCCTAGCAGGGATGCCAACATGTCAACATCTTCATCTCCCGCCATTTTCGCCGCGCCAACGCCTCTGCCGCAGACGCCGTCAATCCTGTCACTAGCGCTGACGGCGCCGCTGACGCCCCGTCTACACTCCCTCCAGTATACATCCTTCTGTCCTCACAGCGAAACTCTCCTCAGCGGCTTGGGCGGAGATGAGAGCCAAGGTGGCTATCACGTCCCAGGAGATGATAGCCAGCATTATCGCGGCGCATCACCAGCATCCACGCCCATGGACACTGGCTATCATGCGCAGTATGCGTCGCCGTATCACGCATACGTCGAGGGCTTGGAAGTTGACGCATACGTGACGGAGGAAATGAACAGTCCCGTCTATAATCCCAGCATCATGGAGGTTCCGTCGCTGGTACAGGCTGAGGATTTCGTGGATCTTGACGCCCTGGCGAAGAGTGCCGCGGAGGGTCACTACTGCGGTGACCCCAGTGCCACGGTGCCACCCAAACAGGAGGTGCAGGAGCACTTCCACTTCACTGCTCCCGATGCTCCGGCTAAACTGCCTTCAATCACCACGCTACAGCCTCGGGCTCACAACCTCTCCTTCACTACATATGGCACCACTTTGCCGCCATTATCTGCTGTCACCGCCGCCCAGCAGCAGCAGCAGCAGCAGCAGCAGAAGCAGCAGAAGCAGCAGCAGCAGCAAGGAGAGAGTGCTGCACAACCCATTCCTCCGCCTGTAGTCCCACAGCCTCCTGGCATGCAAGGCGTGACACAAGTCACCTACACCCACGGACAGATGTCACCACCCGCGTCTCCGGACAACGAAGACTTGCCGCCTGGCGTCCGGGTTTCGAACTGCATGACGCAGCTTCAGAGCGCCGCGACGCCTCTCACCCCGCACGCCAGACAGAGCCTCCACACGCTGGTTAAGGTAATGACGCCCCCGTCTTCCCCTAACCTGTCGGAACTGCTGTCTACACCCGTCACCACGGCACCCACCTGTCCGCCTCTGCCCCGCGCGGGTTTAGAGCGAAGTAAACAGATGAACCACGAACCCCCACCGGATGAACCAGAGCCCAAGGTGACCAAAAAGCCGACAGGTCGGAAGAAAATCACAGCCCACACCTGCCAACACCCGGGCTGTCACAAGACCTACACCAAGTCGTCCCATCTGAAGGCGCACCTCCGCACTCACACCGGCGAGAAGCCTTACATGTGTAATTGGAAAGGGTGCGGGTGGAAATTCGCGAGATCTGACGAGTTAACCCGACACCTGCGTAAGCACACAGGTGACAGACCCTTCCAGTGTCGACTGTGCGAACGGGCTTTCTCCCGCTCAGACCATCTCAGTCTACACATGAAGCGGCACGTGAGTGTGTAGCCGCCCGCACGCCCACACTCTGTACAGACATCCCCCGGTGTACAAAGGCTTGGCCAAGCCTGATTTACGTTACCAGGAGGCTTCCTGCCCCCACCCCCCACCCCTTCGCTCCCGACGCGCGCGCACACACACACACACAAGCCCATTTCAGACCCAATTCTTTAATCATGTGTCGATGCAGTAACAGGCTGATTGATATGCATGAGGACTGGCGCATTTGCCTCTGAATGACAATAGTAAAGCCAAGAAAATAATTGGAATAGGGAAAATATTCGAACTATATCATTCGAACCGAACCATTAAACGAATCTTGTTTAGGATCAGATACGAACCGAAGCATCCCCATTCTTATTCCTTTACTACACGACTAGGTCGAACCGAGCCTTCCCCTATGACAGTCCCCTACCCCGTAGGATTCACCCTGCAAAGTTGAGCGAGATTAGCCGTAAGCCTCGGACCTCCAACTCTTAGACAGACAGACAGACAGACACAGACACTCTTATAGACACACGAGGCTCAATTGTTATTATTAACCCCAGCAACGAAAACGTAGACACGACGCTGTTTAGACATTTCTGTACCGTTCCTGTACCAGAATGGTACAATAGACGGAAGACCTCACTCATTACCAAATTCTCACCCCCTCTCTGTCACCTCTCCCCCCCCCTCACGCCCCCCAATAGCCCCCTCCCCCCTCTCCCATCTGTTCCTCACCACATCAGGACCCATCAATCACCGTGTTCCAGCGGGCTGTTGTGGTCAGCTGGAACACGACAGCAGTCTAAAGTCACTTTGTAATTAAATATATATAAATATTCATATTTTATATCGATTGTGAGAGATTGTTTCAGTCGTCCATAAATAGAGCGGAACACTGATTGTAAACACAGGTCGGAAGATAATTGATAACTGTATTTTTATAATACAGTTAATAAAATAAATAGGTAATATAACTTACGGTTGTTCTTAGTTCCGGTTCGTTAAGAGCTCGTAGGGAGACGAGCTTAACTACGAGCTCGTAACAGAGCTCGTAGTTAAGAGCTCGTAGATCAGTTCAAGAATATCTGATATTCTTAGGGATGATTTCTCCTCTGTGTTTTGTGTATTGATAATTATTCCATTTTATTCCTTTAAAAGAATATTAGAAAATCAAGATAGGGGCTTGCGAGAAAGAGAGAGAGAGAGAGAGAGAGAGAGAGAGAGAGAGAGAGAGAGAGAGAGAGAGAGAGAGAGAGAGAGAGAGAGAGAGAGAGAGAGAGAGAGAGAGAGAGAGAGAGAGAGAGAGAGAGAGAGAGAGAGAGAGAGAGAGAGAGAGAGAGAGAGAGAGAGAGAGAGAGAGAGAGAGAGAGGTAGATAAAGGGGTATTTGAAATAGATAGAATCGATAGACGAATGAGAATGAGATTTCTCCTCTGTTTTATTCTGTATTGATAATTATTCCATTTTATTCCTTTAAAAGAATATTAGAAAATCAAGATAGGGGCTTGTGAGAGAGAGAGAGAGAGAGAGAGAGAGAGAGAGAGAGAGAGAGAGAGAGAGAGAGAGAGAGAGATAAAGGGGTATTTGAAATAGATAGAATCGATAGACGAATGAGAAAACAGTACGAGTGATTAGTTAGGTCATTAGCAGGGTCAATTTCCCCCCTCCCTCCTCCCTCCCACTCTCCCAAATACCGTAGAGGTTGACTGAGTGGTCTACACGTTGGCCCTATTTCCTCATCTGATTTTCTAGCAGTTTCCGTATTTTCTGTCCATTCTCTCCCCCTCCTTCCTCTTCCTGTCGTCTGTCACTCCCCCTCCCTCTCCCTTTTCTGTCTCTCATTCTTACCCTCCGCCCTTCCCCTATTCTCTGTCTCAACTACCCGTCCCCTGTCCCGCGAGCCATGTATCCCGCTGTATGGACAGAATACAGTTGGATACTACACGCTCCTGTCACTTGTATTAGTCTGAACTGCTTCAACTCTGACATCTCTGTGATTGACAGCTTTGTACGCTTCTGAAGTTATCGTAACAAGTTATCCCAAACAAGTTATCCCAAACAAGTTATCCCAAACAAGTTATCCCAAACGAGTTATCCCAAACGAGTTATCCCAAACAAGTTACCCCAACCGAGTTATCCCAAACCCGTTATCCCAAACAAGTTATCCCAAACAAGTTATCCCAAACGAGTTATCCCAAACAAGTTATCCCAAACAAGTTATCCAGACAAGCATCTAAGCACTTAAGTCCCCGAAGCAGATTGTAGGTGGCTGTGCTTAGTATTTTGAGATTAGATAAGAAGACGAATGCGCCAGAAAGATAGCAATAGCTTCATTATGTATTTAGTGAAAAAAAAATTAATATACAAAAATGACTACAAAATACATTTCCGGTTTTGATAGCCAACTAAATGCTCATTTAGTGCCATAATATAAAATATATATTATAAATAGATAAATATATATATATATATACATTATAGATGATGCAAAGATAATATAAATATATATATGTATAAATATATGTACAAAGTTACTGGGAGAGGAATTTAATTGAACTGATATATGTTCTAAAATTTTTTTTATAAAATATCGTCCATTTTGAAATTAAAATTCTGGTACAAATCGCTATATATAACACCAACATTGCGTACCAGTTCTGACCTTTTTAGAAGGTAGCAATAGAGCTCAGTTTTGCTTCGAGTTTCCAGTCAGGAACGCCTTTTTTTCTGAAGGGGGGTTGCCGCGCCCCCCTCCCCCAACAAGTTTCCAGTTAGCGGGGTTGAAAGTCGGTATTTTCATTAGGGTAATGGAGGGTGCTGCCATCTGTTGGCCGCTCGGGACCCTATACCTCTGATATGGCGTCACGATATGTCTGCCTTAAACACGCGAAGCTTTCCACTCCCATCAACGTAAGGGTGATGATAGTTCTAGCTCTATGACGGCTCATTTAATTAGCAAACAAAGAGGGGGGGAATTGACCCCTTTTTTCCCCCCTCCTCTTTAGGTACCATGGAGAGGGTTTTGTCTATCACGTAAAGGTCTCTCGCTGATGTATTAGACAAGCAAAACGCGACCCGTCGACAGCCTAACACGCAAAGAGAAAATGGAACAGATATCAGTGACTTAACTGCCCATGGCGCCCAAGGGGGCTCTGTCTATTTGGGTTAGACGGGAATGTGGATAGACTGTGTGTGTGCGCGCGAGAGCGGGGGCGAGAGCCCGACAAACACAACGTACCCACGACGTTTTTTTTTTTTTTAGATCGTCATAACGTCAAAACGCTTGGATACGTTTATGTTTTTGTTGGGAACGGATACGTTGAGTAGTGTCCATACTCTAGTTAAAGTAATAGTAGTGTGTTAGTAGTAACTGTGTCACTTGACAACGTAGCTCATAGCCTTGTCCCAGAACTGGACTTGTGATAGATGTACGTCATTTTTAGAAGGTGCTTAAGAAAAGTTTTACGGAAAGTCAGACTGTTTGAAAAGTCTTTAAGAATATTTCAGAATATCTATGTATCCGTGTGACAGTTGAAAGTGACTGGTGTGTGTGTGTGTGTGTGTGTGTGTGTGTGTGTGTGTGGGTGTGTGTGTGTGTGTGTGTGTGTGTGTGCGACACCTCCATCAGTAGGTGGATGAAGATCACCCTCTGGCCTCCATTTTTCATCTCGTTAAAACTAAATTTTAGCGAAAACTTGGAATATCATCTGTATTAGTTCCTTGAAGGCTCCCAACAAGTACCTTAAGTTTGGACCTACTGTGGCGGTCCAAGTCTTAGACGGTGTAAAGATACAATTCACACCCACCCACAGATTTTATCTGATAAAACAAGAGGGAACCACTCTCACTGGCCAGCGCTATTGCGACCTCAACCATGCTATCTCAAATTAAGGTCATCGATTACCTTAAAGCAAGTCAAAGAACACGAAGTTCTCAGACTTCAGTGGGTGTAAGAGCCCTTCCAGAACTCTAGCGACGAAGGGACGATCAATTACGATGCTCTCTATTGCAATTGGCTGGCCAGTGGGATCTGAGGACCTCCTCCAAGCGATCATGATTTGCCCGTCACTTCGATGTCCTGCCTGAGAGGCAAGTCTTTGTTCTGCGCGAAGTCGAGCAGTGAGAGCCATGGGCGCTGTGTCGCATTTGCTGTGTATCCTCCCAAGGGCCCCTCACATTGCTCTAAATGGGTCTAGCTGGGCCTCTTAGAGCCTCTACGAAGTAGGCCTCACTAAGATATCTCACGAGCTGCGAGATAACCAGGCGGTTTCTCTTCCAACATGCTGGAAGGACGGCGTGACTCAGGCTTCTGTCCCCCCTGAAGACGTCCTCAAGAGGACCACAAGACCAACAAGGACCTCAGAACCTACCTGACGAAGGGAACTGTTCAGGTAGCCTAACCATCCGTTGAAGACTCCGTTAGCGAGGCCTCGAATAAGCCCGTACTTCGAACCCAAACCTTTGCCCGAGTGAATTACTTTATATATAATATATTGCTCCATATGATTCATATCTTCCCATTGTATTTTGATGAGGGTGGCCTAGGCTTTTTAAAACAAGATTTTCACCTTAATTATCAATTATGACAATAAGCACATATTAACAGGGGGGAGTTAATATGTTTATTTGGGAAATTACAATAAACTAAGACAATAACAACACACTGAAGACAATTACATAAAACTGTAATTTTAAACTTGTAACTGTTTAAAACGCCTAGGCCACTAGTAATCTGTTTACTCTGGCCATAGAGTTGACATCCCTATGGTCTTGACATGTGATACTAGTCCTTAATGAAGTGCATTTTGAATAGAATAATAGATTTAATAGATTTTTCCGCTCTCATCAATGTCAATTTAATATCCGCTTGTCTACTCTGCTCATAATTTTACAAACTGTCAAAACTAGAATTACTTTTAAGAAATATATATATATATATATATATATAACGCATGAATAACTAGCGAAAAGGGAGATGACTTTATTTCCAACTTTTAATGTTATTATTGCAAATTAAGGTTAGGTAACAGCCTCTAATATATTTATATATTATATGATATGAAAACGTATATGATATGTATTATATAATATATACATTCATCTTCCTGTTTCTAGGTGTAATTTATTATATAAAAAAAAACCATACACTGGTTATTGAGTGTATTTTACGAGTGTAGGAAAAGCCAGGAATGTATTTTGGTTTTAACTACACCCTACAGCAGTCATCAGCGCGCTCAACCACCTCGTTAGTGAACGAAAATTAATGATTTTTTGTCCATTTTTTTTTAACTATGACATTTGACATTCGGTACCTAGTCACTGGTTTTCGTCTTAACCGAATTTCTTCGGTAAATACTAAACAAAAAAAAAATCACTTCTAAACTGATATCAGTAACTACTGAAGTAAACTTGAAAGGATAATAAGTTTACGATTTGTATACTCATTCGCCAAAATAAAAATACTCAGAATTTTTCAGCCCATCTCTAATGATAGTACTAATAATGACTGTTTGGTCAAAGGTACAAAAAGTGGTCTGTTGGTTGTAAACGCGGGCTCACCATAGACCGTGCTACTTGTAACTGGTTCTAAAAAAAAAAAAAGTTACCGATTTCTGTTATTGATTTAATCGGATTATAAGCCTAATCTATCCAAAGTGTAAATCCGCAATCGTAGGCCTAATATAATGAATATATGTGATATACTAGGCCTAGAATCATCTGTTTTTTTTTGGTATTGTCTACAAAAAAGTAATGAGATATTAAATATATATATATATATATATATATATATATATATATATATATATATATATATATATATATATATATATATATATATATATGTCGTACCTAGTAGCCAGAACGCACTTCTCAGCCTACTATGCAAGGCCCGATTTGCCTAATAAGCCAAGTTTTCATGAATTAATATATTTTTTCTAATGAAATGATAAAGCTACCCATTTCATTATATAAGAGGTCAATTATTTTTATTGGATTTAAAATTAACGTAGATATATGACCAAACCTAACCAACCCTACCTAACCTAACCTAACCTATCTTTATAGTTTAGGTTAGGTTAGGTAGCCGAAAAGTTAGGTTAGGTAGTCGAAAAGCAATTAATTCATGAAAACTTGGCTTATTAGGCAAATCTGGCCTTGCATAGTAGGCTGAGAAGTGAGTTCTGGCTACTAGGTACGACATATATATATATATATATATATATATATATATATATATAT